ATTTGCGTGTGGCCTTGGAGCTCACCTCTCTGAAACACCAAGTTGTCCCCTTCCCACACGGGCCTTGGCACCTCAGCTGTGCCCTCAGGCCCCCTCCCTCACCAGCTCTGCCTGGAATAAAACAGGTGGATGAACACAAGAGGGGCTTGTGCCATTCCTAAGAGAAACAGTGCAGGTTAACAGCACAGAGAACTCCCAGCAGCGGGAAAATCCTTCCTGGGAGAGCTCTGGGAGCCACTGGTGAGCTCTGCCCGCCTGCCCTGGCTCTGGCCACTCCAAACCCACAGCCCCTGCCCTGGCTCCATCCTGCTCCAAACCCACAGCCCCTGCCCTGGCTCTGGCCACTCCAAACCCACAGCCCCTGCCCTGGCTCTGGCCACTCCAAACCCACAGCCCCTGCCCTGGCTCTGGCCACTCCAAACCCACAGCCCCTGCCCTGGCTGTGCCCGCCCTCGCTGTGCCGGAGCCCGAATTAGCAGCAATCAGGAGACGAGAGCAGGAGCCTCCTCCAAGCTGTCAAGTGCATTTTGCTGGATGATTAATTGGCAGAGCCGTGGCCAAGCCCCGGGTCCTGCTAAAGGCCAGGCCCCTTGAACTGCACCTGCCGTGCTGATTGCAGAGGAGGGATGGGTGGGTGGGGGGATGGATGGCATGGAGTGGATGCGGTGGATGGGTGGATGGATGGCAGATGCGGTGGAATGGGTGGATGGATGGGTGCATGGTATGTGGTGGGTGGCATGGATGGATGGGTGCATGGATGCGGTGGGATGGATGGATGGATGGATGATGATGGATGGATGGGTGGATGGGTGGATGGATGGGTGGATGGATGGGTGGGTGCATGGATGGATGGATGGCTCCACCCGTGCTGCGCTCCCAGCCCTCACTGCAGCTGCTGAGCCGCTCTGAGATCACAGCCAGCTCGGCCAGGAACTTGAGCTGCTCCTCTGATCTCTGGAGGCTGAGCTGGATGTGACTCTGCCTCAGCCTGGCTCGTGGAAGCCATATTTTGGGGTCTGCAGGCAAGCTGTGAGAGTTGGATGTGGTTCTGTGTTCCTGGTGTTCGTTTGCCTGCCGGGCCTCTCGCAGCCCCTGTGAGGGGCCTGGGACAGCAGAGAGTGGGGTCTGTCCTCTCGGGGCCCTGCCAGGGGCTGAGTGCAGCAGAGAGGGGGAAAACCAAAATAAATTGGATTTTTGCCTATTGGATACAGCAGGAGCAGGGAAGGAAATGAAACTTTCATTTTACTGTTTAATTTTTAGAAGGAGACCACGGTTAGAGGGGCAAACCCACTGGCAGGAAATTCCAGGATATTTAGTGTTACAGGGAGTGATTCAGCAATGGGGAAAAATGTGGAGAAATGTCACACAGAGCTCCCCAAGGAAAGGCAGCAGTTCCAGAACTGGCCAAGAGATACTCACAGAAATGTTCTGCATGTGCAAACTGAGTTCAGAGCTGATGTTCAGTGGGAGGTGTCCCTGCACATGGCAGGCATTGGGATGAGATGGGCTTTAGGTCCCTTCCAGCCCAAACCATTCCATGAGTCCAGCATTCCAAGTCCCAGCTGCCCCAAAGCCAGGGGTGACTCCTTTGGTCACAGTTCCCTGTCTCCCACCTGTGAGCAGGGAAGAGGGAAGGCTCATCCACTGCACTCCCAGGAAATGTTTTGCAGCCTTTTTCTGCTCCCAGGAGGCTCAGACAGTCCTGATTCCCCCAAGAACCCTTGGATTCTCCCGGCACACAGGGGAGCTGGGACTTTAAGAGCTGTTCCTAATATTGTGAGTCTTGCAATCAAGTTGGAAGGGTTGGAAACACTTGTGCTCTATAAATAGCTGCTCTGTGGAGCCATATGCAGCTCCTGTGTTTGAAACCTCGGGAGACACGGAGAAGGCAGTCCTGGGAAGTGTGAGCTGCTCATTAGTGTGGGAGCTGAGGGGAATCAGAATTCCTTGTGCATTCCCCACCCAGCCGCTCTGCTCCCACCTGGAGGCTCCTCCCCTGCTGTGGGGACACCAGGTACCTGTGACAGCTTCCAGTGGGAAAAGCAGTGGGAAAATGCAACCCTTTCTCCCTGCTTTGTGTATTTAGTGAGAAGAAAACACTCCGAAATGCCTTGCAAAGCCAGAAGGCAAAGGTGGGCCCCTCTGATCATCCCAGGCATAAACTGGCCTTTGTCCTTAGTTGTCCTTAACAGGGATTTTCTTTTAAAATGGGGAGTGTTCTCCCTCAGAAAAGAGTGATGGAATTGAATAACATGGATGAGCACAGGGCATGTTGGCTCCCCGGGGTCAGAGCATCTCTGACTGTCTTTGGAGCTGCAGCAGAAAGAGCTGGGCCCAAAGGACATGGGCCCTCTGTGGACAAGGAGAAAATATGATCCAAAGGCTGCTTAGTGCTGCTGTTCTGGTTAGGACGTGGGTGCAATCATAGAATCATAAACTCACAGGATGGGGCAGCCACGGCTTCTCTGGGAAACCTGTGCCAGGGCCTCACCACCTTCCCAGCCCGGAATTCCTTCCCAATATCCCACCTGGCAGTGGGAAGCCATTCCCTGTGTCCTGTCACTCCCAGGCCCTTGTCCCACGTCCCTCCCCAGTGCTCCTGGAGCCACTTTGGGCCCTGGAAGGGGCTCTGAGTCTCCCTGGAGCCTCATCCTCTGCAGCTGAACCCCCCCAGCTCCCCCAGCCTGTGTGTCTGGGTAACATCATTCCTGCAGACATCTCCAAACCTCTTCCGTTTGGAAGCTGCTCGGAGCTCCTTGGGGAGAGCTGCCCTGGGAGCTGTGTGAGAGCCCAGCTCACCCCGTGCAGCAGAACGTGCTCCGGGGTGACCTAGAAATGCCTCCTGCTGGTGAGAGGCACGTCCTCGTGTGTGCCCTCGGTTACATCTCGCTGGTGCAGCGAGCGGAGAATCCCGGAATGGAGAAGTTGGGCCTTTAAAAGCCAATTTCTGCGTGCGTTTAACCATAAAAGCAACATCTGCTCTGCTAAATGCAGGTGTTTTATATCCCTGTCATTAATTGGAGGGGACATTATGTCAGCCTACATCAACAGGGAAAGTTGGGGAAAGTGCCACTTATCTCTGGCGCTGTCATTAATCAGCTCCTTTCATCGGGGTGCCCCCGCCGCCGCTGTCTGGGGCTCTGTCAGACCCTCTTGGTGCTTTCCTTCTCTTTTTTGGGCGCTCTGGGATCACAGGTGTGGAATTCTGACACACACAATGGTCACCGAGGGGAGGGGCCTCACCAGGCAAACCCCCCTGTTTGTGGAATACGGATCCTGGGATCCAGCCAGGGACTCCACAGGAGCAATCTGGGACATGGAGACCATGGAACAGTTTGGGTTGGAAGGGGTTTTAGGGATCATCTCACTCCAACCCTCTGCCATGGGCAGGGATACCTTCCATAGCTCAGGTTATTCCAGCCTGGCCTTGGACACCCCAGGGATGGGGCAGCCACAGCTTCTCTGGGCAGCCCGTGCCCCCTGGAAGAGGCTGTGCCCTGGCACCTCGTGGGGTGCCCAGGGAACCCCTCATTTCCCTGGACACTGGAGCAGGAGGAGGCGGAGCAGCCGTGCCCAGCGAGGATCCCCCCCTGCACCGGGGCCATCCCCGACAGGCCCGGGCAAACAGCCCTGAGCTGATGGGAACTGTGAGTCAAACAAATTGAGTGTGACAGAAAAAAAGTGACGTCTTCAATGGATTTGCTTCCCGAGAATTACACCAAGTCAAGTATCTTATTAAGTTCAAGAGAATTACATTTTCCATGCTCCAGCGAGAGACAGGGGCCCTTTAGAAAATAATAATGAACCGCTCTTTTCCCCGCCTTCATTTACATACCTTTGATAAATTACTGTAACCAGATTAGGGAGATAAAATAACTAGTCTATTAATTACAATGATTATTATTTAATAGAAAATGGGATTGTGGGCGCTGCGGATGGGAAAAGGGAAGCTTAGCAATGCATTATATGGATGTGGTGGTTTATCTTTAAGAGTAAGATAAGTGTCCAGCTCTTTCTGCAATCTAAAGAATATGTTCATTACCTGGGCAAGATTTATAAGTATAATTGAGTGTAAGTATAGCGTAAATCAGTCTGTGGACAGTGTAAGTGTAGTGTAAGGCAGTGTGTGTACAGTGTAACTATAGTGTAAGTCAGTGTAAGTACAGACTAAGTCAGTGTGTGTACAGTGTAAGTATAGTGTAAGTCGGTGTGGGTACAGTGTAGGTCAGTGTAAGTATAGTGTAAGTACAGTGTAAGTACAGTGTAAGTACAGGGTAAGGTGTCCCAGGAAGGCCTGGCCGTGGCACTCAGTGCTCTGGGCTGGGGGACAAGATGGGCCTCGGGCACAGGGTGGACTCCATGACCTGGGGGTCTTTTCCAACCTCAGTGATCCTGGAATTCCGTGATCCTGTGCTCTCCCATCCATGGGCTGCACGTTCCTTCTTCCCCCCATCCTGTTGTTCCAAGCAGCTTCTCAGCATTTCACACACCATCAGCAGGACGAGCTTGTTTAAAAGAACTTCTCCCAAATAGGATTTGCCTGGAGCAGAAGGAAAACAATAAAACAGGGAGCAGGAGGTAGCAGTATGTTCTGCGGGGTGCCTGGGCCCCTGGGGCCAAGGAGGGACCCAGGGATGGATGTGGGCACCGGGAGGGATGTGGGGAGGGATGTGGGCACGGGGAGGGGTCGCTGCCGCAGCCGCGGCTCAGGGAGCGTCTCCCGCTCTCGGGCAGAGCCTTTCCCTGCCACTGGAAAAGGGAATGAAAGATAAATGGCAACATCTGCGCCCGCACATGCGGTGGTGGCAGGGGAGGCTAAATGCTAAGTAGAGCACGAGACGTGTCTGGCAGAGGCACCTATGCATAAAATGAGCCTCCCCGCGGTGCCCGGAGCCGTGTCCATCCCCGGCCTCCCGCAGCGCCCGCCCGCTCCCCCGGGAGCCTCCCGGGCCTCCCCACCCCGCGGCCGGCCCGGGTCCCGCTCTCCTGCCCCCCTGCCTGCTGCCAGAGAGCTGTTGTCACCTCTCGCGGAGCGGGGCTCGTGTCTCACATCTCCCGTTCGCACTCCCGGCATCCATCATCCTCCGCAGCCCCGCGGCCGGAGCTTCTCCCGGCATCTGTCGGGTCACTGGTGATGTCTCGGCTTTCTTTTTTCTCTTTTTTGGGCAGAACGTGCCCCGTGCTGGGAGCGGGGCCTCTGATTTATGACCCCCCGCCGCCCTCGGTGTCTCTCTCTCCAGCAGGTCGGGAAGCTGCTCCCCCAGCCCTTGGGTGAGCTGACGCGGGTGTTCTCAGCTTATCTGTCACATCTGCTTTCGCTCACACATCTGGCAGCAGCAGACAGCCATTCCATCCATTTTCCCCAAGTGCTCCTGCCCTGCCTGCCGCCGGAGGAAGGGGGAGGTCAGGCAGGAGCAGCTCCCTGACAGCCCCCGATGGCTCAGTGTGGCAGCCTCACAACATTCATCAGAACTGCCACTAATTAACCCTCCGGCCGCTCTGCCCTGCAGCCTGTGCTGGGACCGGGCCCAGAGCGCCGGGATGCTGGGATAACCACAGCTGGATGGCTGCTGGGATAACCACAGCTGGATGGCTGCTGGATCACTGCTGCCCCCAGCACGGGGCCGGTCCTCACAGGAACGCCGAGCTCCCAGCCCGGACACCCTGAGCAGCCCCAGCTCTCCCATTCCAAGCACTGGGGAAGGAACACAAGCACCTGTCAGCTCTGATTACCTGGTATTTCCCGCCAGAGACTGGAGTCCCTATTAAAGGGAATTCCCTACATCAGGTAATGGAATCACAATTAAATGCTCTGTAGATTATTAAAATACTCTCGTGGCAATGGGGGGAAATAAAGGATAACCCCAGACAGCCCCCTCACAGAATGAGCTCACGAGCAGAGTTTTGCTTTGGCTTGTCATTAATTGGAATAACTTTCCTCTCTCCAGCACTCACCTGCTCTCCCTCTGCCTGGCTGGAGCTGGGCACACTCCAGCTGGGCACTTGCTTCCATCCTTATCCAGGAAGAGGCTGTAGAAAGGAAAGGATGGTGGCAGGACGGGGCTCCTGATTCTTTTTAGCCTGAAAAAAAAAAGTACATTTTATTATTTATTTAAAACCGCAGAAATAATATCTATGGACTGAATGAGCTCCAAGTCTGAATTTTCCCTTCCTTACTCATTCCTACATATGTGGAGAGACAGGCAGGATAAACTGGAAAACCATGTGAGAAAGAGCAGAGTAGTCCCTAAGCCCAGCAGGGTTTAATAAGGATGAAGTTAATGCACTTAATAGGTTCTGCAATAGCTGAGCTGAACCCCTGTAATGCGCCATCCCTGCTTAGGGATCAAACCGGGAGCCCTGACCCTCTTTCCCACTAAATACATTTCACACACAACTCCCAACCCCAGAAATTCCTTCAAGGAATTGCTGATCAGCGCGACGCCACCAGAAATCAAGAGTAGTGGTGGTTAATAATAAACCAGGCAGCGTGGAAAGAACAGATTGCCTCGGAATTACTGTTTTCCCTGAGATTTGGGGGCTGGGGGGCTGCTTTGGGTTCGTCGCTGTTGTTTTTAGCTGATGGATCCCAGCTGGGACTATAAATTGGTGTGTGTGGAGCTATTTTCCTGCCTGGCTGTGCATCCTTGGGGATGCTTTAGCAGATAACAGCGTTGCTCACAGTCACAGAGTCACACACACAGGAAGTCCTGGCAAAAAGCTTTGTCCGTGTCCTGCTCCCGTGTTAAGGAGAGGTTTTCCACTGGAAAAGTGACACTGGGATGAGCTCTGCTGGCTCCTCACGGTCTGGTTAGAGCAGCTGCATGGGAACCACATCTTTTGCCACCCACAGGGCCCCCCCTCCCTGGCTGGGCCCTTTTCCATGGATGCCTCCCAAGCACAGGACATGACCAGGGCATGGAGGCACCACCTCGGGAATTATGTCACCAACAAAACCTCCTAATGGCGGAATCCTGGAATCCCAGACTGGGTTGGGTGGGAAGAGACCTTAAACCTCCCACTGTCCCAGGCTGCTCCAACCTGTCCCTGGGCACTTCCAGGAGTGGGGAATCCATCACCAAATTCCAACTGCCCAGGGGTGACAGGACTCCTGCAGAGCTCCCAGCAGCCCAGGGCCGGCACCAGCGACAGGGATTTGAGCAACTCCAAAAATAGGGATGCAAACTGGGGGCATCCAGGATTTACCTGTGGTCATCCTGAGGGTTAAATAAGATAGTTCATCATATAAATCATATATAAAGACAGAACTGCCAGTTCCAGCATTTCCTTGTGGGCAGTAACGGGGTTCCTCTCAGGGGGATGTGATGTAAGAACATCCAGGGACCTCTGGGTTTAAAACAAACAGGAAAAGGGTGGAAATACAGAGGGACAGTGCTGGGAGAGGAGTGTGTGTGTGTGTTAGTTTATACCCCACTTTAACTAACAAGCCATGATCTTCTCCAGAACAGTAGATAAAACAGCAAATGAAATATGGGGCAATAATTGTGACACGGAGGCGAAGTCGCTGCGTTTAATATATTCCTCTTTGCGAGCAGATAGGCCATAACATGACAATAATGAAATATAAATGACCGACATAAAAAAAAAGATAAAATCAGGTAATTACCGAAGCGTCAGTTCTTTACAAAATAATTGGTAATGACCTTTGATAAAGAAATCACTTCTGTGATATTGCTGACAGCACCGTTTCCAGCTCCGGGAACACACAGCAGCTGGCTTGGGACCAGGGAAGGGGCTGCTGGGATGAGCTGGCACCAGGGCACGGGGGCATTGGCCACCCCACACCTGTTTGTGGGGTGAGTGCAGTGGGACCCGAACCCAGAGGGTCCCGGGGATGAGGCTCAGCTCCCTGTGGAGCCTGTGCCAGGGGAGGCTTGGGTTCACTAGGAAAAGGCTCCTCCCCCAGAGGGTGGCTGGGCACTGACCAGGCTCCCAGGCTGGCCCCGAGCCCTCCATCCCCACTGCTGGGGCTCAGCCCTGCCTCCACAGCACCGTGCCAAGGGGTGGGATGGCACTGCCACATCCCTGCCCTCCCGGATGATCCCTGGCAGCAGGAGCTCCTGCGGGACCCCGGCTCGCTCCGGGCAGGCTGGAGCACGAGCTCAGATGGAAATGACTTGTGATTGCTCCCAATCTGGCTGAGGCTGCAAACAACAGGCTGCAAATGTCGCAGGCACGCTCCCCCTGTGGATGCTCCCCCCGGAAAAACTTGGGAGAAGTGCAGGCGTGGGGAGGAGATGGCAGGAGCATCCCAAAGGAGCTGCCCGGCACGCAGGAGAGACAGGGCCCTGCTGAAGGCAGCCCCCAGCTGCAGAGCTGCTCCCCGGGCCTCATTCCTTCCTGATGTCTCCACAGGAAAACAAGGGAATAGCTGGAGTGCTCAAGGGGATCCAGAATAGCTCCATCTCAGGAGGAACAAACCATGGAGAGGCCACGTTCCTGTGGCACAGCGAGGGCAGGGGTGAGGCTCAGGGCCCGGGCGATGGGGATCCCTCGGAGGAGCAGCGTGGGGATCACACCCCTCACACGGGGGAGAGCCACACGAGTATCAGAAAAATGAGGCTCCAACGGGGATATTTCAGATTTCCCCAGATTAGGAAATGAACCAAAACGACATTATGGAAAGTTTATGCCCAACCTGTGTCCTCTGCCCTGTGTCTCCTCACGGGGATGCCCAGGAGGGCCGGGCTGGGTGGTGAGGCCGCTCTTCCCACCGGGAATCCCAGCAGAGCCGGTTCAGGAGATGGAACTGTGCCACAAGGCTGAGGAACAGCTGCCGAGCGAAGCAGCACGACAAGATCAGCACATTTCCCAGAACAGGGAGGGGGAGCACAAAGAACCCTCCGAATATCCCGGCCTCTGCCGGAGCCGCGTTCCCAGCACCGCATCGCGCGGCTCGACGTGACAAACCTTGCAGCACTCCCACTCCCCTTCCCTTCCCCCAGCCCCAAGGAGGGAGAAAGGATCTTCACACTTTCCCTAATACCAGCTGGTTCATTTATATTGCAGAAGTTTCCCGAGACAGTAAGTGACAGTGATATCCCAAACACGGGCTGAACCCGCCGCGCTCCTGCCGCGCTGGGAAGTGGAACGTTGGCACAGAAGCACCACAGTGGCCCCAGACTCCTGCAGGAACCCTGGAAAACCCACCTGGGCCCCCCAACCAGAGGCCACAAGACCCCTGTGGAAGCAGAAGGAGATGAGCTTTAAGGTCCTCTCCACCCCAAACCATTCCACGATTCTCCAGTTTTGGCACCGTAATTACCCTGGAATTCCCTGTCCACAGAGAGGGGCTTTGCCACCTCTGGAGTTCGGGTGGGACCTGCAGCACCCGTGAGCAGCAGAGCGGTGACACCTTGCTGGCACAACAGGACTCGTGGCCTCTCAGCCCCTCCTCTGCCACTGCCATTCCCACATGGATTCCCAGCCTCTGATAGCCACAGATAACCAAAACCAGGGGCTGTTTGAGGAAAATTCAGTCTTGGATTCCATGAACAAACAAGCTCCAAGTGCAAAAAGGTGCCCAGACCCATGGGAGGGACCTCAGGAGAGGATGGACACTTGAGTGGAAAAAAATCCTGCTGCTAAAAAGATGTGGGGAAAAAATTTCCCTTTCTTTCTTGGAGGGAAGCACCAACCTGCCTTTGGCCCCGTGCAGCTCCTCGGCAGGGAAGCTCCCTATGGAGGATCCCTACAGAGGATCCCTATGGAGCAGTGCCTGCTTTGTGTCACAGCCTGTGCCTTCCAGAACCAGGCAGGAAAAAGCTCCAGGAAAATCAGGCTTGCAGATGTTTGTGCTCTTCATTTGGTACTCAGAGCTGCTCCCAGCTCTCCACTTCTCCAGGTGAAAGAGAGGGAGCTCAGCTGCTCCAGCAGCTTTTCCTGCGCCGATCCGTGGTTATTAATTTCCAAGCTTTACACACAGAGCCATCCCGGAATGTGGCAATTTCCTGGCTAATCTGGAATTGGGTGCAGGTTTGGAGCTGCTGCAGCTGGAGCAGAGTCTGAGCACCAAGCTGGGGCTCTGTGGAGCAGCAGCTCCGGCTTTGCTGGCACCGGGAAGCGCATCCCGGGGACATCAGCACCGGGACCTGTCAGGGAGGGTCTGGAGTGTCATCAGCTGCCTCCATCACCATTCCAATTGTTTTCCCTGCCCCTTGGAAGCCCAGCTGGTTACCACGATGTGCTAATTGCTTTTGTGCAAGTGCTGTCAGTGCTGGGACTGGACTTCCCAGTGCCAGACACGGCGTGCGGGCATGTTCCCGAGGCGGGAGTCAGTCCGGATCCGTCGGCACACTGGATGCACGGATCCAGGGCTGCCACTGGACTCTGGGAATGGCTTTGGAGTGGGTGTTGGGTGCAGCCTTACCAGGTGTCGTGCCGAGGGTGCCCACATCCCATGGTCCGGATACTGGCCCCATTCCCGGGGAATCCCATCTGGGCAGCAGCACCTCTGGCTCTTGATCCAGGGAAAGGAGAAGATCTGAGTCCTGCATCACCAGAAAACAAAGGAAAACGGGCAAATCAGAGATGCACAAAAACTGTTGTTGGAAAAAACACTTTCTTTAAATAGCTTTTTTTTGGTGCAATTTTCAGGATTACGTGGGGGTTTTTAGGGATTTAGGAACACTCCAGCCTTGCACTTCTGCAAACACCCCTGGAAAAACAATCCACCTCCAGAGGGATTAAATGCCCAAACATCACTGCCCATTTTCCCATCCAAAGAATTAATTTTTAATTCTTTTCAGACTTTAAATTTAATTTTTAATTCTTTTCCAACTAAATACATATTTTCAAGTCTAAAATGCCTTGCTCCAATTCCTACTCGAGCTCTGTCTGGAAATCAGGAAGCTCACAACTTTGTGATCCTCCACTCTGAGTGCCTAAAGCAGGGAAGGGGAGGAAGGATGGCTCCCATTTCCTTGTTAAAGCGGGGGAAAAAAGGGAAAACCAGGTGCTTAAAAATTTCCAAGGCGCAAAGCAAATGACAAAACGCAGGAGCGTTTCGTTGTTGGAGTTTGGAATAAAAGGCAGATAATTAGGAAATTGGGAGTCTATTAATTTCCCAAATTTACTCAGGCACGAAGCACTGAGCTATGGTGATATTTGCTTACCTCGTCATTATGCAAAAATATATTAGCTAATTATTTTGACTAATGCAATTAAGATATGCATATTTAGCATAAACTCCACAATAGAAACGTTCCAGTCAGCAGTTGCTGGGTTGCACTCATGGGCAGCCGAGAGGGAAAAGGGAAAAGGCTCCGTGTGGCTCCGATGGCAAACGGGAATGTCGCTCCTGCCCTGCCCGGCGGCGGGTCTGGCACAGGGACTGACTCCAGCACAGCGAGGTGGCACCGTGGGCACGGGTGTTACCTGTGGAGACAAGGCACCCCAGGGTATCAGCCTCCTTGCACAGAGTCCCAGGATGGTTTGGGTTGGAAGGGATTTTGAGGATCATCCCATTCCACCCCCTGCCATGGGCAGGGACACCTCCCACCAGCCCAGGTTATTCCAACCTGGCCTTGGACACTTCCAGGGATCCAGGGGCAGCCACAGCTTCTCTGGGAAACCTGTGCCATGGCCTCACCAAGCTCAAAGCCAGGAATTTCTTGCCAATAGCCCATCTAACCCCGCTGTCTGGCAGTGGGAAGCCATTCCCTGTGTCCTGTCCCTCCATCCCTTGTTCAAAGTCCCTCTCCAACTCTCCCTCTGTGCCTGCTTCCCTTCCCTCTTCCAGCTCTGCCAACCTTGGGAGGGAGCCAAGGGCAATCCAGGGATTTTTCAGTACCCAGCGGTCCAGATGTGATGGGTGGGACTGGGGAGTGGGTGTCACGGGCCGTCCCTGAGCCCCGTCCCGAGTGCTGCGGGCAGGAAGGAGGGCCGGGAATGCCGGGAGAGCGCCCGCTGGAAGCCGGGGATGTTTGGGTGCGTCCCTGAGCCGCAGCTCCAGCTCCGGCGGGCACTGGCTGTGCTTCCAGCGGGGCTTGGCGGCTCCCGGGGAGCCATGTGGGCTGTCAAATGGCTTCTGCTGTATTTTGTTGCCCTTTCAAATATTTCTCCGAGAGTGGGATGTACCATCTGGTGGCCAATCTGGCTGTGTCTGGAACAGCGCAGCACCAGCGCGGCGCCCATGGGTGCTCAGCACCAGCCAGCACCCACCACAGCGCCCAGCCAGCACTCCACTCAGCACCCACCCAGTGCCCAGCCAGCACCACTCAGCACGCGGACCCACAGTGGGCAGAAGCCAGCACCCACCACAGCGCCCAGCCAGCACCTCACTCAGCACCCCCCACAGTGCCCACTCAGCACCGCACTCAGCACCCACCCACAGCGCCCACAGCACCCACTCAGCACTCACCACAGCGCCCACAGCACCCACTTAGCACTCACCCAGTACCCACTCCCAGCACCCAGCCAGCACCCACCCACATAACACATCCAGCACCCCCAGCACCCCCAGCACCCTGCAGCACTCACCCAGCACCCTGCAGCACCCTGCAGCAGCGGGCCCAGCAGCACTGGCAGCAGGTCAGTCCCAGCAGAGATGCCCTCCCCTCCAGGCTCCGTGCTGGGGAACAGGATGGTCCCGTGCTCTGATCCCCTGCAGCAGCTCCAGCTCAGGGCTCCAGGACCCTCTGGTCTGGGTAGGTCCATGGGCAGCTGTGGAGGCTGAGAGAGGGCAGTGGTTGGAATGGCTGGCCTTTGAAGGCCCCTTCAGACCCAAAGTATTCCATGGATGTGGATGCCACATCCCTGGAAGTGCCCAAGGCCGGTTGGGTGGGGCCCTGAGCACCTGCACTGGTGGGTGGCATCCCTGCCCAAGGCAGGGCAGTGGAACTGGGTGATCTTTAGGTCCCTTCCAACCCAAACCATTCCGTGATTCCATGATTCTACACCCGCAGGACAGCAAGTCCTTCCAGTGCAAACCCAGAGGCCTCCCAGTGTTCCCTCCATCCTCACCCTGCACGGGAAACACAGAGTGAGGATTTCCCCGAGCAGAGAACAACTCTGGAGCCACATCATCAAGTTTTAAAGCCCTTTCTCTGCCCCTTTATTGGTTTCTTTTAACATCTTGCACATTCAGAGTTCCTGCTGACTCCACACTCTGCTCCCTGTTCCCAGCACGCTCCGAGAGGAGCTGCCAGACAGGTTGGAGAGGGCGGATTAGACACTGCTGACGGTACCGAGAAATCCTCATTTATACCTTGCCATGGCAAGAACACGATGGCCTCAGGGAAATCACTCCAATAATTCCTTGGGGATTGCTCTGAGCTTTGTTATCCAAAGCAAAAGGCCACCTTAGGTGCAATTTTGTGCCTTGGGAATAGCCAGTACTGGGACTGTCTTTGCCAGGCAGAGTTCAAGGAAATAGGGAATGGACTTGCAGGTGGGATTCCCTGCACGGCAGCTCCACAGCTTGAGGCAGAAATATTGGATCTAGGAATAGGAATTGTCTGATGGCTGCAGGGTTTGGCCCTGCTTGGTTAGATTTTCATCTTATCTGGGTTTGGAGAATTTCTGTGATATAAAATTTTAAAAAGAAAGGGGGAGTTGGAAATACCCAGGTGTGCTCCAGGGAAGGTGCTGGGAGGGCTCCTGGGTGCCAGTGATCCCAGCCCATCCCAGGCAGGGTCGCTGCTCCCAAGGCAGTGACCGTGTCCCACCCTCTGGCAATTTCTCTTTATTCCTTGTCATTTTATAAATGCTTAACGTGCAATTTGTCTTTATTCCTTATTATTTCCTATATGATTAATACGTGTGAGCAGAGCAGCTTTGGGGGCCGGATTATTCCGGCAATCACTGGAAAGCAAATCCCATTAGGTTCCCCCGAGTTGTGCCACACATCTGACAGGGCTATCTGGCAGCACATCTCCCTCCTAGGAGGGATCTCTGCTCCCCTGGAAGCTGGAGTGAAACTTAATCGGGAATTACACCCTCTAAATACCCACGGAGGAGAGAGTGGACTTTTCAAACCGGGCTGGCGTCCCAAAGCCCTTAATCTTCTTAGGTAGTGAGGGAAAGCCGTGGAGATGAGGGGGTAGCTCACCAAGGGGGAATGAGGCTGGAGGAAAACTCCAGCTCTTCCTCTGCTTATCCCATTCTCCACTTAATTCCCCTTCCCAAGGATTTTTTAGCCCCCCACTCTCCATTGACAGCCTGCTGGAAAGAGCAAAGCAGCCCCCAGCAGCCGGCAGAGGAGGCCCTTCCTTTCCTTTTTCCCATTTAATTAATTCCACAAGGACAGGAGGGAGCCCTGGGAGTGTCAGTGCAGGGCAGCAGGTGGATCCTGTGGCAGAGCAGGAATGTGGTGGGAGATCCCACGGGAGATCCCAGCGGTGCTCTGGGTTAAGGAGGGAGTGGCACTTCCCACAGGGCCTGGCAGGTCTGAGCCCGTGGATGAGGAGCAGCGTGTGGAGATGCCCCCGGAGCCCTGGGCACCTCATCCTCCCCTGCACAGTCTCTCCTGGACGCTGATAATTCCACCCTGGACTGAGCAGGAAAACTGCAGAACAGCTACATCTGCTTGGCAGCTGTGGCAGCCTGGGATAGGCACAGAAATCCCACCTTCCACCTGGATTTTCAGTCAGAGGAGCTGGAATCAACATAAAAATCCCGGTGGGATAAATCTGAAGGGGGCATGGAACAGCTTGGGTTGGAAGGGGCCATAAAGATCACCCGATTCCAGCCCCTGCCCCGGGCAGGGACACCCTCCACTAGCCCAGGTTGCTCCAACCACCATCCAGCCTGGCCTTGGACACTTCCAGGGATGGGGAATCCACAACCTCTCTGGGCAACGACCATGGAGGGTGAGGAAAAATGTTAAAAGCTGGGAAAAAAAGGAAAAGAAAACTTCAGCTGTGCCTTGCTGGGAAAACTAGAAAGGACACAGCTTCAAGTACTGATTATTTTTATTTAGGAAAACATTATCCAAGGGCCCCTTTCCAAGGAAAGCAATCTGGGTTGTGTCTGGGCTGAGCACACAATGTCATCCCGCTGCAAAAAAAGCAAACATGGTACCAGGATGTCTAAACAGGAATGTCATGTGGGACACACATGAAGTAATGCCTCGCTCCAGGATGGGCTCAGCTGGAGAACTGTCCCTGGCCTGGCTACAGCCCTTGGAGAAGCTGTGCAGCCACTGGAGCCGGGCCAGGGAGAGCAGCAAGAACCATCCGAGGGTGAAAAATGAGGACCTGAGAGGGGAGATGGAGCCAGTTGGGCTTGTTCAGCCTGGGAAAGGTGGGAGAAGGAAACGTGCTCTCCAGCAGAGGCAGAGGGAGGTGGTGGGTGCTCCCAGTGCCCACCACACACAGGGGAGGTCGTGGCCAGCTGAGTACACCCAAACTGGGCATACTGCAAATGAACCCAGCGGATTTATTACCCAACCGAAGAAGAAACGCTGTTCCCTGAGTTTTCCCCTCGTTGTATCCCCATGGCAGAGCGAGGGAGGCCGGAGAGCGCTGTGGGATGAGTCCAGTGTGGAGCTGCCCTGCTGGGAACGAGCAGGAGTGCGCCGTGTCCCAGCTCCCTGCGGAGGGTTGGATCCCAGGACAGCTGCCCCGGGGAGGAGGGAGCTGTGCCCTTGCCTGGCTGGGCCAGCACTGGAACTGGCACAGCAGAGCCGCTGTAAGCACTTCCAGCCCAGCTGGGAGGAGGTCGGGCAGGCGGGATACCTGCCCAGCCGGGGGCTCTCCGTGGAGCTCCAAGGAGGGGGAAAGGCCAGGATGAGGCAGTGGGAATCAAAGCACTTGTGAGCACTCACAAAGGAGAGAGGGGAGCTGCTCGTGGCCACTGTAAAGCTGGGAAATTACTCCCACCATCAACAGCCTTAATCCTAAGGAAGCCAACTCCGGGGTCACACCAGGGGGAGTTGGACACTCCGAGCGCTCCTGGAACACTCGGAGGGACAAAGGAATGAACAGGGAGGATGCAGAGAGGAGTTTGGGGTTTGGGAGACCCACTTTCACAAGGGTTTCCATTGCAATTTTGCCTAATTAGTCTCCAATAATTAATGCTGTGAGTGCAACAGAGATGGAATCAGACAAAATGCCGGTGAGGAAACCCCATGGAAGCCATCCGTCTTTGGGTAGTAATGATTATGTTCTTTTTTATTATTAAAGATCCCATTAGAAAGAATTTATGATTTTTCCCCTTTGTGAGAGAAATAATCAACATTCCGTTGGCTGCTCCCGGTTTTGGTGCCGAGCAGCCGCGGATCCGTAATTAGCCACAGTTAAAAAGAAATTTTGCCTGATTGGCTTTTGGGGAACATTATTTCCAAATTACAGCCCCGCCGATTTATTTCCAGGGAAAATACACTCCCAATAAATAACTCAAATACAGTTGGTCTGAAAAAACATTTGGATC